CCCCCCAACTCCTTCCCGCCGACACAGTATGGTCTGGATAACAAACAGCCAGTCTCCCCTCATTCCCCCATTTTCCGGCAAACGCCTCGGTGCGCTTCAGGTTCATTGAGTAAACGACGGGGAGGAGCCGCAGAGCGCCGGACGGCCATCACACAGCCCCGGCGCAGGCGCAGCAGCGGTACCCAGGCAAGATGGCGGAGGAGGAGTGAGTGTGGCATGGGGGGTATCCGCCGCCATCCTCGCGGATTGCGCGGTGGCAGCGTCGGGGGTTGCGGCGGGGTAGCTGCGGCGGGGTAGCTGCGGCGGTGTTGGATGTGACCGGCTTCTCCTTCCCCTTCGCCGCAGGCCGAGGAGGCGGATCCCGCTGGTGCCGGAGAACTTGCTGAAGAAGAGGAAGGCCTACCAGGCCATCAAGGCCACCCAGGCCAAGCAGGCGCTCCTCAACAAGCGCAAGGTAGGGGCTCGCCGGAGGAATGTGGGGCGGCGGTCCCCGGCCCGGCGGTGCAGCCGGGAGCAGACGGCGTGGAGGAGCTGGCGGCCGGCGGCAGGAGCCTGGTTGTAAGGAATTGCAGTACAAAGCGGATCTGCCGCGCTGCTGCAGCCGTCTGTCCACGTCTTTCGGAGGAGGAAATTGTGATTCCTTGCAGGCGTACAAACGGTCTGAGTGATGAGCCTTCTCTGCGAGGGGAATGCCCGAGCCCTGCGGGTGGGCAAAAACTAGGTGCTGACGCTGTATTGATAGCATGATGATCCTTTGGGTTATCTCTTGAGGGGAAGCATAAGTCCATTTCTTAAGTGGTTGAGCATTTTCTCCGTGTGTCTCTGAAGCCTGTAAAGAGGATAAAACTTCTTGGCTTGTATTACTGAAACACGAGTTTAATGAAGACTGAGTTGTTTCTCAGATCAGTGATTACCAGGGTGGTTGTGTGTATAGACACACGTAATAAAATGTAATACTTCTGAGTTATTTTGTTGCCATGGATTAACACTGTCTGAAACTAGTTCAGCTTTGCACCATAAACCTTGATGGAGAAGGTGTTCTTTTCTGGAGCACGTTTAGAGTTAGCTATCTGTCATGAGCTAGGTAAATCTGTTAGAGCATAGGTCATCATGAAGCCTTTTTCTGCATGCGGGGTGGCAAGTGTTCCTAATACAGAGACTCCTTGCACACAGCATGTGGCTTCCAGGCTGGCAGAACACAGCAAACCTTTACGAATTGCTGAGAAATGTGCTGCTGTATCTCAGATAATATAGCGGGTGCCTGTCTTGGAAGTGGTTCAAAGCTTTCCCAGTGACTCTGTTCTGTGGATTTGATGCAGTCATCTGCAAAGTTCCAGCCATTTTTGGTAAATACTGCATTTGTGTTTTTAAATATCTCAGTGGCTTGCTGTATTTCTAAGGTGGAAATGGAGGCATAAGTAGTAATGTTAAATAGCTACATGTAAGATTCTCATTAGAAAAATTACCTTAGTGATGAGATTTTGAATAGGGCTTCTTGTTTTGAAAATTCAGAATAATTTTATAGGTGAAATAGAAGACACATAACATCAGATCCTTTAATTTAAAATAGCATAATAATTTAGACAGTAGTGCATGTAACATATTAGGAGTTGAATATGCAAGGTAGTTATCATATGATTTAGGTGGATGTACTTGTTCCTGAGCTAAGGATAGGCATTTAAACATCTTTAAAAAACAAAAAAGCTCTAAATTTTCCCATAATTCTGAATTATTTTTTTTTAAGTGCTCTGGATGTTCTGTATTTAAGTTAGTGATAAGTATCACTAGTTATTTGAATACTTGGATGTTGTTTGTTTTGTTGCATGTTTGCCTTAATAGAAGAGGACTTTAAAGCTGGTTTTATTCTGTGAGATGGTAATTTTGAGTCACACCAGGGTATTGCTGTAGCATCTGTTCTGCAGACACATATGTTGTTTCTGGCTCTCTCAGTGATTGAGCTGTGTATGCAGTTCTGAAGATCTGTCTTGTCTGTGGCTGCAGATGCTTCCATTTGATTTCTCCTATGCCTAGAAGTATTCTAGGTCTTGTTCTGGTTTTTCTAGTGTATTTTTTTTCTTGAGGGGAAAAACTGTCAGTTCACTGTTCATGAATTCTAGCTAGCTACTTGTAAATTTGTATGTTGTTCCTCAGTTCTGTCTCTTTTGGCCTTAGATTACCAATTTTATTTCCTTCTTACTTTTCTCCAGAACTGGAAGAGTATAGTTCATCAAGTTCTGAATTTCACTTGGCCTTTGGAGATGCAAACCCCTGAAACTGCTGGGAAAGGTGGTGACCTTTTATCCTTTTGCCTTTAGCACCAGAAGGGAAAACAGCTCCAGTTTAAACGCCTGGAGGCTTTTGTTCGAGATTCATGGCGCAAACACCGAGATGACACCCGGCTGAGGCGCATGGAACAGAGACCTCCACAGATGGCTGTACCTCAGGAGCACAAACTAGCCTTTGTTGTGCGGATTGCAGAGTAAGAAACTTGTGTTACTCCTTACCTTTATTACTGCTACGTATCATGTCTAAGCAATGGAAGCATGATCAACCTAGACATATCTCCTTGCAGGTAATCTGAGGCCCTTTGTTGCTTTATTAGAGAAACCTGTATAAATAGCATTTGTTTTCTGACTCAGTATTAAGGGGGTGAGCAAAAGAGTAAGAAGAGTGATAGAGTTGCTGCGGCTCAGAAAAACTTTTACTGGAATATTTGTTAAACTGACTCCGTTATTGCTGAAGATGCTGCGGATTGTGGAACCGTATGTTGCATGGGGGTAAGTACCAGTCCTGTGACTTGGTAATAGTTTGCATGTAAAGGTCATAGCTTTTTGATTCTCTGCTTGGTATCACAAATCCATAGCTGGCTTTTTGAGTAATGGCCCAGACTTCATCAGCTTTGTACCTAAAACTCACTATTATCCCTTTTCTCATTGTTCTAAATAGAACTTAGTCACTTTCCCACCAGAGAAGTAGGACAGGCTTTCCCTGTGTCTCATGTCTCTTTGTTAAAAGATCTGATTTTTAATTTTGTACAGGCACCCTAACCTGAAATCCATACGAGAGCTCATCCTGAAACGGGGCCAAGCCAAGATTAAGAAAAAGAGGATGCCTCTGACAGACAATATGCTGATAGAGGAACATTTAGGTGAGGAGGAGAATGAAGAAATGAATTGAGGAGAGAGGAGGGAGGGAGAAAAAACTTGCAATACCTGTATACGGAGGAATGGCAATTCTTCTGTAATGTGAGGAGAGATAATACAGTTGGCATCTTGTGTACATCTTGGCAGGGGGGGAGGGAGCAGGCAGTTTTTTGTTATTTTACTGATTTCTGGTTGATTGTGTGTTAATTTTTGTTCCTGCAGGGGACTGTGGTATTATTTGCCTGGAAGACCTTATTCATGAGATCCATTCAGCTGGGAAGCATTTCAAGAAAGTCACAAATTTTCTGTGGCCATTCCATCTGTCAGTGGCTCGCCATGCTTCACGTAACAAAGTAGGTTTCCTCAAGGAAATGGGTAAGCCTGGCTGCAGAGGCGAAGCAATCAACCAGCTTATACGTCAGCTGAACTAGTCAGGTGAAGAATGCCTGTTGTGTAACTTCTAAATCTTATCCTTTATTGAGTTTCCTAAGAATAACTGCCACAGGACATGAGGGGGGCTTCTTTTTGCTTCACTCTACAGAAGTGATGTGTATGGTAGGGAAAATAATGGAGACTGTGGGTCCCATTAGGTGTCAGCAAATCTGTTGGATTACCTCCATAAGGATCTGGCTCCTGGGAGGCTGCATTCATGGGACTTCTTTTTTTTTCTTTGCTGTTCTGCAGGGTCTTTGTGAAAACTTAAGGATTTGGACCCTGTTCCTTCTCACATGCAGTTTTCATGAACATTTTCTCTGTCCAATGATACGCTCTAGTTCTTGACTGTATATGTTTTTATGTATGTTTCTCTATAAAGAAAAAATATACAGATGGTTATGGAGATGAGACTTCAGGCTGGTCCTTCTTAAAGCAAATAAATTGTGCTTGGTACAAGGAAAGTGGCTTGAGCTCCTTAAGCAATCTGACTTCTGCATCTCTGCAAAACAATTTTTTTTAGTATTCATTACTGCTGCCTCTATACCTGTTACTTCCCGATCTCATATCTGGTATAAAGCAGTGGTTGTCAGTTCCTGATTTAAATGTGGTACATTTGATTTCCACTCACACTTTCCATCCTGTACTCCCCTGTGAAAACACTTGAAGCTTCATGCCTTGAAGTGCACTTCCTTAAGGCTAAAGGGGTGGTGCAGTCATCTCTTTAACACAAATTGCTGACAGGCAGAAGGAAACAGGTGTTCCTCTGTTGCTGCAGTGCAAGCCCTAGCAGTGAACGATGTAATGTGTTTGAAGTACCTAGATTGTTTTAAAAAGCAATGATTTTCATGCTAGTGATTTACAGAAGGCTGCATTTTCACTTGTGCTAGGTTCACACTGCTGGAGAGTGCTATTTCCTGATAAAAAGCCAGAAACTTTGTAACAGAGTGATAGAGTACATGTTTAAAGGTGGGGGGTTTTTTTAATAAACTTTTAAAAATACAGTTACAGCAGGAAGAATTGTGTGTATATGACTCTAGAAGAGTGGAAAGAGGTAAATACTCTGCATCAGCAGAGATTGGTGAAGGACATGAACAAAAACACTGAAGAGCCTGAACATTTGGTTTTAAATCTCTAGTTTCTTCAAGTGTAAAAATGAACAAAGAACGCAGGAGGAGTGCTGTTTTAACAAATATGGAACCACTGTGCTGAATCATTAGGTCACTGTGACTATACTGTTCCTTGGTGACTTTATGTGGGGGCAAACAATTAATCCATGAATGAATTTCAGAGTGACTCCACAACATTCATTTTGAGACTGAAAGGAAACAGTTACAATGCCTTTAGGGTATTAGTTTTACAGTAGTTGTAAACTTAATGTAGCATTCATAAAACCACCTAAAGGATGAAGTACTGCAGACTGAATTAGAGAACACTATACAGTTTCAAGCTTTATTTTATAGAACAAGAATTACAGACATAGACAATGCTTGACAGACATGAGAAACATACACATACTTGGTAAAACACCATCCCCCAATCTCAAGCCCAACAGTCATCAATATACAAGGCTTCATCTGTAAGTTTTTCCTGATAAACAAGCTGCTTTCATTGGTAAAGAGATACAAGTCACTTTGGAATTGTTCTGCCAGTTCATTTTGGGATTGTTTCTGGTAATAAAACAGCCCAGACTTTTACACAAAAAACTGGTGTGTCAGGAGTGAGGTTTTCTGAGAGTAAATTTAAGCCTGCTAATAGACTGCAATTTATAAAAAAAAAAAACAGCACTGAAGTGGCAGGATCTGAGGACAACTCTAGCAGTTAATCTCAGATTCAGGCAGTTTTTCTATTAATGTGCTTGTTTAACACACTAGTAATTTAGCTCATATGTTTAATAAGAGTCAAAATATCATAATGAATACCTTATTTAGATGTTTAGAAACAATGTCAGCTTGGTCTAGTGTTAACCCACATCATCACAAACACATTGCCTTTTTTCTGTATCAGCAAAAACAACAGTAATGATGTGTTCATGAATTAGCTGTCCTAGGAACAGAAACTGTACAAGGTAACAGGGTATGTACAACCCTGTGCCCCATGTCTTACGGGAAGGAATCTTTTTTGTAAGCCACTGTGCTGTTCACTTTGTGGATTGTAGTAGTGAAGGAACGAAGACGAACCTCTTCTGAATTGGCTATGAATTGTGGTCCTGACTCTTCCCACTTTTCGGGCACTGCCAAATCTTTATCTGTATATATCAGCAAGTCAAAGGCACCTGTAAATAAGTGGGAACAAATTAACTCTCATGCATAAGAAGATGGAACATCTTCTAGAGTTGAGACGTGTACCAAGGTTTGCAGAAATTACACTGATACTAGTTCTGGGAAAAGGAATAGTTGAAACATGAAAAATTAAGTCCTGGTTATATTCGTATGTAGCCGTTTTAGTTTTCTCAAGTGCGATGCAAGGTTTTGTTTTTTTTGAAATGTTAAAATGTTGTGGAGCACTTCATATGAATTCAAGAGTTACTTACACAAGCGTGTCCACAGCTAGCCACAAAATAATTATTTATGAAAGCTTACATTCCTCAGAGTACATATACTAGTTTAATTTAGTTAAGCTACTCTTGAGTTCTGTCCTCGTCTCAGTCTAACAAAATGTGGTCCCAGAAATGTGGTGGTATATGACATGTAATATCTAAAAAGCCTCAAAGTTAGCAGAAAATATTTTCTAAAGTAGGAAGGTTGAGGTTTCTAAAAGAAGTAACCAATTTCTTTAGTGAAGTCAATACTCACAAGCAGCTTCCAACAGTGGCAGAAAAGTTACTGTGGCAGTGATTTGTCTGATAACAGATCGAATTTCATCCTGAATAACTTTCTGAGATTTTTCTCGCAGTTCACTGGAAAAATAGGAAAACTCTGCTAAGAAAGAAAGTTTCTACCATCCTGACAGTTTTCTTCAAATATAATTCTCCTAGTTCAGCTCTGTTGGTCTGTTTGTTACAGAATTTTTATAGTAGTGACTAAGGCCTAGGATAAGTAGGCTTAGAAAAGTTAAGTGATGGTTTACTGTTGTGAAGCTTAACAGTATTTGTAAGGAACTGTGACATTTATTCTCAGTCCAGAATGGATAAAAACATTTTGATGTAACAACAGCAAAGTAGTAGTACTTAAGGGCATATATACCCGGTACAGGATTTTATATACTTTGTTGAAGATTAAAAATCAAGTTCTGATCTGATGCTTTACAGAAGAAAAAAAAAAAAAAAAAAAAAAAAAAAAAAATCACATGTGAGAATTATGTTTGCTTCATGTAGTTTACACTTTATAAGGTGTGCTCATAAGGATGAGCAGTAAGAAGTAAGGAAGGCTTTGTAAGGTTTGAAGACACGCCTCCCATGCTCAGTGAGCAATAGCTATCTCAAGTGCTCTGAGGAACCAGAGCAGCACAGATGCACATGGCATGTATCATCTTATATCTGCATAGCTACTAGATATAGGGAAGAGCAGATAGAGGAACACCATTACTCACTTCTCATCTTTTGCAGTTTTGTCACACTCGATATCAAACTGCCACCTCTCCAGAACCTCATTGTTTTCAATACTCGAGATCACCACCACCAGGCGCTGCACAATGCACTTGTACAACCACTCTGAAAGAACATACAGCAGTTACTTGCAGCGTGCAAAAGATGAGAAGCACTGGCTGAAACACGTAAGAAGGGCAGAGCAGGCTTCTGCCAGCAGTACTAGCTTGGCAGCCTGAAGAACCCCCCTCAGCTCCCCGGCCCGGCCGAGGCCTCTGGCACCTTTCATCTGCTCCACCACGTTGTTAAGGTAGTTCTTCAGCTCGGGGTCGGTGGTGATGAGGAGAGTGAGCCCATACTTCTGGACGCGGGTGAAAGTCTCGGGGGGGTAGATGCCCCGCTGATAAAGGATGCTGTTGATTCCATAGGCTGCAACAAGGAGAAGGAGAAGGTAAAGGGTGTGTGTGCGAGGCAGCCACAGTCCCCCTTCCCTGCCGGAAGCCATGTCACCCCACAAGAGGCTTATTTGCCGCGTCCATTCTTTTTCCCAGACTGGTCCTGGAGCCCCCCTCCAGTCCCTTCTGGCAGCCCCTTACAGAAAAACTCGGCGACGATCTCGGCGCTGCCCCGCAAGGTGATGCCCTGCTGGTCCCGACCCACTTGCTTGGCCATGGCAGCTGAGCGGATGCTGCTTCCCCGCCGTGCCGTTCAAACCGCGCCGCGCCCCGCCTCTTTCCGGCTTCTCAGGCGGCCTACGCGCACGCGCAAACCCGCACCTCCCTCCTCCCAGCTTGCGCACGGCCGCTGGGGAGCGGACTCTTAAGGCTTGGGCGCATGCGCGGATGGTGCTATGAGCGAGAGCGGCGCGAGGCGGCGTGAAGGGACGTGAGGGAAAGTTCTTAAACGTTTTGGGGTGTGGCGCTGTGGCGGCAGCGATCTGTTAGGGAAATAAGGGTCTTCTGGTGTTAAACTTTGCATTAGCTCGTGGTGTTGTTGTGTAGAGCTGCGTTCGTCCCTGTGAAGGCACTTCGGAACTTAAAAAATGGTACTCCCAGGTACAAATGAAATTAAGCGAGTGCCTCTTTTAAGGGTGATTTTTGGTAGCGCTCAGTGTGTAAACTGAGCAGTAGCTACCGAAAATAGAAGTGCTCTGTTCTGCGAATGCTGTCAAAAGGCAGGCAGAAAGAACCTCGGAAAGCCGGATGGAACGCACTTTTCCTTCCCTTAAATCTGTAGGTTAGCAGGTAACATGAAAAGAAAGGGTTTAAGAGGCATTTGGAAATGTAGGGAACCCACAAGCTCATTACTCAGTGCACATCCGACCTTGTGGTGAGGCTGCCACAGGGCCGTTGCTAGTTGTTAAAAGCACCTCAATCGTGTGGACAGCAAGGAAGACACTGCAGCTAGCCGTAACTATCACACGGAGGAGACTGTCGGAGGTTAGCAGGTAAGAGAGTAAAACAGCAAGTACATGTGAAGTGTTGAAATATTTAAATAGAATCACGAAGAGGGGAAGCTGTAATGTGCTGGGCCAGTCAGCTGGCCACATACTATCAATCAATAGGCAAATAAGTGAAAAATGAATGGATTTGTTGGGAAGGGAAGAGCTGCAAATGAAATCCTTCAGTGAATACAATTTTCTGAAGGTTCTGGAATGAGTAGATATTATCATCTGCGACATATCTGTATTAGATGTCCTTATTGACTTCAAAGCAAAGGCATCAGAACAGGCTTGAAATGAAAATGACATTCAAAACTGATACTTAAGCCTAGGATAAAAACTGCATGGTCATTACATAGTTCAGTAGACCAGCTGCTAAAGACTGAGTCAATGCCACAATTGTTTATTTTGTCATAATAAATGGTAAAAACAAACCAAAAAGGTTTTTTTTGGCTCTAAGAGGAATTACAGTTTGTTTCAGTGTTCGCTGTGCTGTTATTAAAACCAGTAGTATATCCTGAAATCATGCTGAAGTCTGAATAATTTAGTTTGGTAACCTAGAGGACCTTTATCCTGGGTCTTGATCATTAGTGGTTGTGTTATATGTTAGTCTTCTGAATAAAATATTTTGATTGTTGTATTTCAAAGCGTTATGGTAGTAAAAGCATTTTTCATCTGAGTCCCAGCTTTTAGAAGCTAGATATAGCTGTATCAGCTGTTTTGCTTCAGACCTTATGTACTAGCATACTACTCTTCATCTGTTCCAAAATGGTCTCATCCTTCCACCCGCGCATTTTTTTTTTTTTCCCCACGCTTGAATTTTTATTCATTTTGCTTCCTCTTGAGTGTTTTGGAGAGCTGCTCATTTTTGATTAATTATTGCACATTTCTCATCTAGCTGTTTTACCGTTAAAACCAAATGGAAGAAAAAAGTCAAAATACTTCTTGACTTACTAGATGTATTTTGCCACATTTCAGTGTAGATGGCTTCAAGATCTGTTGTTGATGTGACTGGGCAGATATGTTTATCAACAACAGACTTAATTGCATCTTCTTTATTTCTGCCAGCATTGATCTGACAGGTATTGAGAGTTGGTGGTGATCCCCAGTACCTCTGTTAAAATTCTGAGCTTCCTTCAGTAAACCTGACGTGGTATTTCAGGTTTGGATCAGTTCTCTATCCCTAGTTCTGTATTGCAGTTAACACTGGTTTCTGCCCTGATATCCGTGTGTTCCCCCCTGCCTTCAACAACAAAAAAAAAGAGAAAAATCAAAACGCAACCCCCTCTCCACAAACACCCAACAACCCCTACACATTTTTTAATTTTGGTTTTTCTCTCTCTCTTTAGAGAAATACATTACCCTTTTACGACATGTTAGTACTTATATATGCTGCAATGTAATGGCAAAAGCTGCATATTTTCAGTACTTTTCAGCTCCTAGTATTTCCCGTTGTCTTTTAACACATTATTTTTCCTTGGCCAATTAATTAGTTTTGAAAAGGTCAGTCTTTTAAGTCCACTAAGTAGTGTCTTTATTAATCTTCTATTTCTTCTGTTATATTCACCTCTTTTACTTCTCATGTCATCAAGATGTTCCTCCACTTTCCCCTGTCAATAATTCACTTGCATGAAGATTTAGTTATCTGACAGTGTGTGTTTGCTGATTTTTCCCTTTGCGTTCTCTGATTATCTCATCTTTTTCCTGTTACAAGTCCTAAGATCCACAAGACATATCTTTATTTTTTCCACTTCCTTTAGGTTGGTGTGACTCAGCTTCTCTTCCAGGTCAATCCAGTATACCCCAACAGAGGCACCCAGGTACTGTGTAAATCTGTTGTGTAACTAGTCTGCAATTATCATCTGATCATAGCCCAGACAAGTGTGACAGGTACAAGTGTATGCACACTCCATGTGATGTTGACCCACCTGTAGTTTGTATTTAGGGCACACAATAAGAGGAAGGCTGCAGGGAGACTGCTATGTATTAGTGAATGGTATGTGTGGCTGACAGCAGGCTTCCTGACCAGCTCTGAGGTACTCTTGGAAATGAAGATGACAGGCTGTTATATAGTCTGGCACATCAGGAGCTGGCTATCCTTGCTTTAGTTATCTCATTCTAAAACCTTAATTTTCATAGGGAATGTGAAATCCCAGTTGTGTTTCATTTAAGTCTTTTACAATTCTCTAGTCATTGCTTTGTTTCTCAATTATAATTTGATGTTATGACATTTTTATTTTTTTTTATTCTCTTTATGTGGAAGAAAATGTCCCATGTTTAGCTTGGCTTTTTTGCAACATTTAATGATAGCTTCCCCATGGCAACTGACAGTGAACCTGGGACAATCCAGATCACTGGTATGTCTTCACTCCTTTTAAAGCAATCCAGGTCACATTCCCATAGTTCTTCAGCAGACTAGAAGACATAATCCATTTGCAGAGTTCATTCCCAGTTGTTGTTTTACCCTCAGGATGATGTGGACAGGTCTCTCCTTCCAGCATAGCAAAATAGTCTATAAAATGAATGTTCTGTTTGCTACAAAAGCTCTTGTATCACATTAACAAGTTGTCATATTAAGCCTCAGTAAAACTAGTTTTTCCTGTGCAGAGAAAGGAAGTCTTACTTTGGCCAACAGAGTCTTAGTGCTTCTCTTTTTCTGGTAGATCTCAAGCTCTTCTGAGTAATTTCTTTCTACATTTTAGGAGGCGACTCTGTGCCTTTAAGCCCATAGAAGTAGCTAGCCCTTTTGCCTTCTTCCCTATTTTCTGTGCATCACTTTAATTCTCCTTACTCTATAAGAATGCTGTCTATCCCTGTTCTTGCCAGCACTCAAAAATCAGAGTGGGTGTTGAGTTCATTCTTTTTTCTGCAGGTTGGATGCTCTGCTCCCTCGCTTCCTCAGCCCAGCTTGTGAAGTTTGTAGGTCATATACTGGGTGCCGCAGTTGTCAGTTTGCAGAACTGCCATGATTTTTTTGTCAAACATATTTTTCTCTATTAGCTGTTTAGGTTCGGTGCTATACAGGTTTTGACATTTGGGTGGTTTGCAGGAAAAGCTTTACCTGAGCATAGGGTAGGCCACCAGCGCAGCCAAGTACCATCACTGTTCCTTTATGTTGATTCGGAGAAAACTCCAGGAACAAACTCACCAACAGAGTTTCAAGTTGACAAGCAGGTATTCTTTATTGCGGCGCCGGGAGACACGGGGAATAGCTCCTCCTAACGTGTGTCCCCGAATTGCTATACAGGTCATCCGTATATGGTTACTGAGCATATTACCTCATTTTCCAAAAGGTTTCCGGCATGCATACAAAAATGTGGTGGTCTTTAAGGGTCCTTTACTTTTCCCAACAAGCTTAACTAACATTACAGACATAGCATCATCCTGGCCTTCTACTTATCAGTTAGTTTAACTGCTCTCATCCTGGACATCTGCTAGTCTGGGATACTCCCCATCCCAGGTCTTGTCCTTCTATTCTGCTTTTCTCACACCTTTTGTATTGAGGCCCTGAAAGTATGTCAACTACCTCCAAGCACTGCAGGTATTTTCCATTACAAAGCCATCAAACTTAACATTACTTAGAACTGATTACATTTTGTACTTTTGTGCCTCCTTGTCTCAATGTAAGAGTTATTTTTAAATCTTCCAAGTCTTTAAATCACTTACCTATCTTTAAACCACTTTGCTGTGCATGAGCTTCTTTACTGCCTTCCACTGCATCTTCACAGCTCTCATCCAAAAATTCCTTTGGTGATTTATTATTATCTGGAATTAATTCTAGAATGAATGTAAAATACTGCACTTTTTGGTAGGCATTGTATTACAAAACTAATTTCTTTGTCGTTGTTGTTCAAATTTGTTTCCAACAGTCAGTATTATTGAAGTTTGCAGGGTAGGTACAGGTACTTTGTGTCAACTGTCAAAATAACTATAACATTTCAAGTTGGCTGGTGCTATTTTTTAAAACATGAGCCATGGAATATTATTACAAATAGCATACTGTATTCTTTCACCAACAGCAGCTTTTGAGTGGTGCAACTAGGAAGGCTTGTCTTGAATTTTAAGTCTTAATTCAAAGAATTTTTTTTTTAAGTAAGTGTGGGCTAATAAGCTGCACTATAACTTCTAATACGATGAGTAGACTTCGCAAAGCGACCTGACGTATTTCTAAAGTATATGTATGAAAAAAGGTTTAGCAAGATATTTGTGATGGTTTTACCTCTAAACTACCGGGAGATGGCACCAAACACGTTATCTGTACCCTTTCAGTCTCGTCTTGAACTAGAGTGAATTCATTTTACTGTTACATGCTTTAGTTTAGACAAATTTATTTAGATGCATTTATTTTTGCTAGTTCTAAAAGCATTGTTCTAGAATGAAGGAAATAACGTGATACCAGGTTTTGATGTTTACCTTGGTAAACATTTAATGCAACCTTGCCGTTGCACTAAAGACAATTTAACTGTTGAACACTTATTTTTCATACGTGTTCATTTTCAAATGAAGACAGCAATCCTATTTCAGAATCAGAAAGAGCAGATACTGATGAGTTTTCCAAGCCTTGAGAACTGTGTAGTGCTGGATGATGTCATGTTACAGTGTTAACAGCTAAGAATCCAGCTCTTTATGACTTAATCTCCAATCTGAAGGATGATAATTTTAAAAGACAAATATTAACCCAGTTCATTAACTCCTGTCACAGCTGAAGTTTTCCTGTTAATAAGTTAATGGAAAACTTAGGAGTTCTCACATAGTTTAGACTTACTAAGCCAGTATACCACACTTTAGCTTTAAATTCAGAATGGGTCTTCTAAAGAACAGTTGAACAGATTTATCAGTGGAGACTTAGACTGTCAACAGGTCATCAGGTACTGGGAAGCAAAAGGGTCCAGAAGATTGATAGCATAGTAAATATATTTAGATAAGGATTATTGATTGTTGCACAATCACAACGTGTTAGATGACAATTGTTATTTCATGATTGCTTTCTAATCATGTCAGTTCTGGTATATAACCATGATGGACTTGTTCAGTTAATTGTGTTGCAAGGAATACAGTACAGCTTACATAATGCCTAAGACGTATAATGGCTGAAGAGGTAAATATCTTGTGACAAGTATATTATTAGCATTAGAAATATTTTAAGCAAAATATGAAGAATTCCTTAATTTCATCTTGAAAATTAGAGTGTTTATAAATATTTCTCCACAATTAGTTCACCAGGCAAGTTAGGTGCCCTGTTGTCAGAACGATACTCATTACTGAAAACGGGCATGCCAAATATTCAAATTCTTTCTCCCAAGTATTGGACAGCTTAAAATGGTGAAGGATGACTTTGTAAATAAGGTATCTATTCCCATATGGAAGAAGGAATTATTCAAAGAACGCAGTTTATTTCAAGAAAAACATCCTTTTTCATGTGTTTTGAGAGATTTGTGCATGCCTTTCTTCAAAAAAAAAAGGAAGACCGAATGGCCACCAATGTGTCATGACAATTTGATGAGCTAAAATATTGTATGAGGCACCCAGGCCACCTCAGGACTATGCCATGAGCCATTCCTCCCCTCTCCTCTGCACTACCTGCACTTCACTACACACTGCTGCTTTGGGAAGTCCAGTCCTGTAGCATAGAGACAAATGCCTGACTTCTGAACTTTCTGTGATGTCTTCATCAGAACTCCTCTGCTCTACTGGTTAACAGCAGAAGAAACATGCACAGTCTAGGAGTAGCATGCATTGTTAAAAATTGAGAGCTTTAAAGCAATTAAGATGCCTGCACAAGAACAGCATTGAGCTAGGCCTGGGATGTATCAGGTACAAAACCAAGCTTATAGAATTCCACTATAAATGCTCCTCTCAATCCGTCATATAGATCACATGTAAGGTGAAAAGTCCTACTTAATTATTTTTTATATCACTCATCAAATAAGTACCTAAGTGTTTCTTAGAGTTTAGTAATTGTTTCAGCCACATAAGAAACCAGGGAAAACTATTTTGTGTTCCATTGGCCTTTAAAAAATCGCTTATGGGCAGACAGTAGGAACATCTGCAAAATAGCTAGGAAAACAAGTGAAGAAAGGATTTGTTAGTACAATTTAAATAAAATCCCTTTATTTTCTGTGTCATTATTGAGCCCAGAAGGACTGCTTGTTGTGTTAGGCAGCACTGGCTATTTTTTTTAGGAGAAAAATTACAGAAGAGCAGAACAATACTTGAAAGCTCATGCTAGTTATCTGTATCTCCTGCACAATGGATGGCCTCAGCCAAAACTCATGATCTGATGTTGCTTGGTGCATAAAAATGTAAACCAGATGGCTTGGTAACTGGAATAGCAGCTTGATGCTCATTATTCCTTACAGTCTCCCTTTCTTGAAATCTGATTTGAGGGAAAACACGGCTTTATTGCTCAAGCTAAGCTGCTCCTTGGTTGTAATCTGCCAGCTGGTGGACAGGTAGACCAGGAATAGATATTTAAAGGTTAATGGCACTCTTGCCACCAAGGAAAATTCACTGAGCTAAATAAAGCACATCTTTGATCTGGTTATGTTCATTTAAGCCTTTTAAGATGTTAGTGAAGAAGTCCATAGACTTACATGTAATGAAGCAGCAACCTAAGCAATTATCTACCATTGTCTGAGAAAATTAAAGAAAAATATAATAAATATAGACTCATAGAATGGTTAGGGTTGGAAAGGACCCTAAGATCATCTAGTTCCAACCCCCTGGCATGGGCAGGGATGCCTCACACTAGCCCATGTTGTTGGACAGACCAGGGTTCTGTCCAGTGTGGTCTTGAACACTGCCCATAGACCATTTACCA